ACACACACACACACACACACACACACACACACAGAAAACCCCATGAAAATATGTTACGACGACGAATTTCTCGCAGATTATTCCGACGGGGGTACGACGAGATTCGGTCGAGTCTTGGATGAACGCCGATGTTTTGTAGACTGGAGTAAATAAACGAACTTTATCAACACCAGTGCAAGTTTACAGTTGAGTACTTGGGGCGACGGGATCAAGTCGGGCAATTGCAGCGACATCCGCTGCAGACGAAGAATGCTGGTCACTGGAGTGCAACAACACACTGCTGCAACTGAACACTGGACGCCAAACACGAACACGGCACACGGGACACTGACGAATACTGAACAACAAACGATGAACACGGAACACCGAACACTTACTCATCACAACTTTACAGGCTTAAATACTCATCACAACGGGCGAGTTAGATCACAGGTCAATCTGCTGCACGATTCTAGATTGCTCTTTGCCTCTCCTGCACGCCATCTTTTGCTCGCTGTACATGCCGCCTCCTGTTGAAGCTCGGATCCCGAGCTCTGCGGTTCTCTGCACGATACGGATGAATTCACTGTTGCGTTGTTTTAGCCACGGCATCCAGTCCTCGTTTCCTCTGCATCGTCCGAAGTCTTGACTCACTCTCTGGTACTGCTGCGTCTGATTCCTGGGTTGCCAGATCAGTGCGAATCTGGTAACAATATTTTAGCGCTGCGGCAAATCGTCTCGCTCCCACAGTAGTCCAATTCCCATTGTCGGAGCAATACTTGCCGTCTCTCCGAAAAAGTTGTTGGCCCCTTTTCAAATACCAGATCAATTTCTTCGGGCCCATCTTGCCAACCCGCAAAGATCCAAGAATGGTCCGTATACTTCCCCCTCGTTACCATAAACCATTCTTCCATTTTTTGCAGTGTTTGTTCGTGGCCCTTTACGATGTGGTGCCATAATCACTGCCCGCACATCGGGGAGTTTCTGTAGCGCCGTTACTTCCCCATCAACATCTTGCTCCTTTGTGTCCACATCCAAAAGAAAAATTCCAGTTCCAGTGAACGGGCCCATTTCCCAACGGCTACTTTTCAGTTCGCTCCAGTTGCTAAACTGTAGTTGCTTCCCTGCTGCTTTTACAGCTACATGCTCGCTTTCCACCAGCACTCTGCTCAGTGTGCACGCTTGTGCTCCTCCAAATATTGCCACTCTTGCTTTTGTCGCGCCTCTGGATCGATTTACTTCTGCTCGAACTTTCTCGGTTGCTTCAACAAACCGATTACACTGCGCGAATATACCTCGGTACCCTGAATACATGGGCATTCCAAATGATTCTTTAATCGTTTGCTGCCGACGCGGCCAGCTCTTTGTCAAGGCTGCGACGGCTTTCCACCACTCTTCTTCTCTGCCACAGCAGGCATGTTGTACGGGTCCTTCCGCAAAATTGTTTCTTTTATATCCAATTTTTCATCGGAATCCCACAAAGTTATTGCTTTTGCCAGCTCTCCAACTTTTCGAAACGGAATTTTGGCGACAGCATCTGATAGAAATGCGTCTACCACGTTTCCCAGTGTGACTCCATTGCGACAAACTGCTGCCGTATATTCGCGACTCTTCCCCATTATTGTTTCTTCTACATTCAGTGCTCTGTGCGGTCCTTGTCCCCGTTCGAATACCACTTGAGCGACTGCTCCGGTTCTGAAATTGTATCTATGTACTCTTGTTCCCTGTGTTGCCTTTCCGGGAATCTTTCCTAACTTCAAATGTCTGCGAGCCCTTCTCCTCCGTGATGCATCTAGCAGATATTTCCCTCCTACCATTTCCTTGGGAATTTTCCGCAGGTGATCCAACTGCACTTTGAAGGCTTGTTCTCTTTCCCCTTTCAGCTTTACTGTTGCACTATTGACCGTCATCGCCAGGATGCGGTATAGGCCCACAAATTTATGGGTGACTTTGGGGTGCCGGGTCTTTCTGACCTCTGTCGGCATATACACTAGTACCTGTTCTCTAATCCGAAATGAACTAGCTTGCACATGGTTACGCGCATCATAATTCTGCTTGGCTCACGCTTCCACTTCTTGCACTATTTGCACTCTCCAGAGTCGAGATTTCTCTAGCACACTGGTACCTAATAGCATAGTTTCCCAATCCCGTTCTTTGCTTCTACAAACATCTCTACGGGTCTTTCCTCTTGACCCCATCTTACTCTCAGCTTTATGCTACCTCGCAATTTTATTTGACGACCTGTCGCGTCTCTCACTATTTCGTTCCCAATTTCCCGTAACTTCCCGGTTAAGTCCCGTCCCGTGGCGTGCTCGATGGTCTGAAGGGCCCCCAGTTTTATCAGTGATAACATGGCTCCGCTATCTATTAATGCCGCCAACGGCACTCCCTCACAGGACACTTTCACCACCAATTTTCTACCAACTATCGTACTCTCCGGACTGGGCTGATCATCTTCCCCCACCTTTTCCATCTTTAACGCAGTTGGGGAGGCACTCATGACTCCCTTCTTTCCTCTGGAGGCGGCTAGTCAGTGTACCGACGCCGTTGGACAAACCCGTGCCATGTGCCCCTTATCTCCGCACATGAAGCACGTGACATCCTTCCCCCTCGGAACTGTTGCTGAATCTTTATGTGGCTTCACTGCTGGTTTATCATTCCTATGTCCACTGAAGGTGGACCGTAGACTCCTACCAGCTCTCTCATGTCTTGAAGCGAGGTCTTTTACAGGGGCTGTTGTGCTCTTTCACCCCTGCCTTATCACTGCCTCGCCACACCTTACTCTTTGGCGTTACGACTCCCCGCTCTCCGACACATTTTAACGCCTGTATAACTACCCCACATTTCTTCTTATCCATCACATTTGATTCTACGTACATGGTATCCGGGTACATAGCCGCTACATATCCACCAGGGCAAAGAATTCTACCGGAAGCTCTCCATTACGCCGCTCTGTTTTACTTAGATCATTTTGCAACATCAACCTGGTGATTCGGGACGCGTCTACCAGCTCCTTTTTTAATGCAGATACTACTTCTACAAAAGTTCCTTCTTCTCGGATGTGTACGGAGATCCTCAGGAATGCATCCAGTGCTAATCCTGTTAAGTAGGACCGCAAGTACCGTACTTTCGTCCCATCCGATTCGTACCTATAACGGAGGCTGAATTCCTCAATGAAATCTTGGAATCTGGCCTCAGTCCTGTCCCCCTTCCAGAGAACTTCTCTAAGGCTGGAAGCTGTGTCTACATCCGCTACGTATACCGCAGTATAAGTCGCCCAAACGCGGCGCTTACACCCTCGGCATTGCTTTGTTGAGCTGTGCCGCTAGCACTTGCGCCTAAAGACATGTCACTCGAAAGCAAAGACTTACGCGATTGAAGTGCCTGTTGAGCCTGTCGTTCCAATGCGACCGTATGCCGGTTGCTCGGGCTGCTTCTTCCCCTTTTTTCCCTTGCTCGTCAGCGCGAGCCTGCGCCTTGGCCGCGGTCGCGCTGCTCTCGCGAAGCAAGCGCGTCACCGTTTTGGGCGACTTATATCCAGCTACCTCCCATTTCTGTCCATCGTACAGCTTCCTCCACAGCTGTGACGCGGACGTTACGCCAAACTGCTGGGCCACAGCAGTTAACTCAGCACTGGTTTTCCCCAGTGCTAATTCCGTTCTGGCCTGTTGCAAGTCAGTCAGGACTTTTGTGGCCTTCCACTGCTTCTCCTGCCAGGCAGCCTCTACAGCCTTCCAGGGCTGGAAGCATTCTTCGACTTTCGTGGTGGCACTCCGGATGGTCACTACTCCTTCCATCACTCGCGCCTGGACCTCCTCCAGGGCCTCACTAACTTCGTTTATGCTCCCCACACGGAGCCAATCTATCGCCCACTCTACTTTGCCCCGAAATTCCTCCGAAAACCCACCACTTCTCCGAAGTCGAAACTCCTGCCACCTACGCCGAATGGGACACCACTCTCACGCCGTTCGTCGTCGCGCTCTCCCCATCGCGAACCTTCGCGACTCATCTCCATTGCCTCTCGCGCGAGCCGCAGTGAAAGTGCTGGTTCCACACCAGCAGCTCAAATGCTGCCCTGCCTTCTAGCTTTTCTGTTCAATTCCCCGGGCTCGCTGCGCTTTTATTGCTTCTTTCGCTTCTTTCCTTCGGCTGGGTCGTTTTAAAATCATAATCCATTCGGCTCCGCCCTCAGGTTACTACGAGGAGACGACACGACGATACGACGGCGAATTTTCCGCAGATTATTTGGACGGGGGTACGACGAGTTTCGGTCGAGTCTTGGATGAACGCTGATGTGCTGTATGCGCTTAGTGGAGAGACTGGAGTAAATAAACGAACTTTACCAACACCAATAAAAGCTTACAATTGAGTACTTGGGGCGACGGAATCAAGTCGGACGATTGTAGCCGGACATTACATCCGCTGCAGACGAAAAATGCTGATCGCTGGATACACTGCTGCAAATGAACACTGGACGCCAAACACGGAACACGGGGCGCAGGACACTGAACGATGAACACTGAACACTGAACGATGAACACCGAACACTGAACGACGAACACGAAACACTCAACTTTACAACAAATTTACAGGCTTAAATACTCATCACCACGGGCGGGACAGATCACAGGTCAATCTGCTCAGCAATCCTGAATTGCTGTTTGCTTCTCTGTGCGCCACCTTTTGCTCGCTGTACAAACATGCGTTTTGTACTGCTGTTACGCGGCAAAAACGCATAAAAAATGCATACTCGAACGTTTTCGAAATAAAACTGGCCACCATCTTCATTGATAACAAAATGTTTCACTGTACCGTCAACGCGGACCGCCAGTGCTAAGGTCAATTTGCCTGCAATTTCTAAAAGTTTCAGACCAAAAATGAGCTGATCTTTTTTATGAGCTTCTTTTCAGTCCCACTGCTTTCCCTTCACTTTACATGTGTAATGGAGCGAATATTCTCTCCAGTGCCCAACACGGATGCAACCAGTACTTCCTAAAGCCAAAAGCCAGCGAAGGCGCTTGAAAACGGCCCAAGTAACAGCGGTCAGTTTGCCAAAAGCAACTATTGAGCAGTTTTGACGTAACAGCATTTTTTGATGGTCGTTATAACGTGTCATCTGGGAGATCTCTATCTCGTTCTCTTGATTCATAAAAAGCGAGCAAGATTCAATCACTGGCGACACACACGGGGCAGGCCATGCGATCATGCGCTCTTGCAGTACTTCGTGCTGACGTAAGATCGCTTAGAGTCCCAGTAGCTAGAATTTATGGAACATTGTTCCGTTTTCAGGAAATTAATTGTGCAGATACGTAGTACTTGGTCAGAGGTAACATCACCCTGAAATTTCAGCTTTTTAGCTTTTTTGGTTCTCGAGTTGACAATTTCCCTCCTAAAACTTTCATATGGCTATACGCGGGCCAAGGCGGGCGTGAGGGTTGGTACCTCGATCTTGGGATGGCACTTGGCTGGGGTGAGCACTAACAGGATTCTGGCGCCGACGCTTGCTTGGTCATTGGGTTGAAATATCCGGACAGATGCGCGCACACATGCGCACCAGGAGTCGTTACAATTTGCGCTTTTGCATTTGAATGTATGCAAAAACGCGTAAAAAAGTATGGAAATTACAAATGAAACGCAAATGCCAATGAGCGTGAATGTGATTCTTCATCATAACAGCCGGATCATGAAGGAAACCTAAAAGAATGCTGTAGCTGCGTCAAACATGAGCACATGGAGCGACTTAAGAGGCATCCAGAAATTCAAGCTAAAAAACATCGGAATGAGTTGCTTGCTGGTCTGAGCTGACAGCAGAAAACCGAGAAAACCTGTTCGACTGCTATGGTTTTTATGCGCATTCGTCCGCCGAATAAAGCGATCTATTATATTTTGATAGGTTGCACAGATACATAGTACCATCCGCATTACTGCTTATTAGTTCAGCTTAAGAGTGTAACCCGAAAAAACGATAATTTTCCGCACCAAAGGTTTCACGGGGTCGTACGTGATACCCAGATGTAGGGAAAGACTGAATTTATACTTGCGGAGCAAGGAGTACTATCACAAATTTCAGCTTGTTGGCTTTTATGGTTCCCGAGACCATAATTTCCCCGCCAAAATTTTCACGAGGCCATACATCTTACTCGCCGGCGCGGGAAAGCTGAATTTAAATTTGTGGGATCACGAATGGGCGGGAAACATTGCTCTAAATTTTCAGCTTCCTAGTTTTTGTGGTTCTCGAGTTCAAAGTTGCGGATAAATTGCTGCGAACGCGCGCACACACACACACACACACACGCACACACACACACACATACACACACACATACAAACACACAAGCACACACACAGACAACCTCATGACAATATGCGTTTTGTAATGCTGTTACACAGCACAAAACGCATAAAAAGTGAAACCTTTCCAGTCAGTTTTCCGTACTAGAAAATCCCCGTCGTTGATCAGCAGTGGTTCAATATCGCATTTTGTCAAAAAGCCGTAGAAGTAACTCTCGGATAAATTCTGTGTCATTCTAAAATAACGTATGTAAGATTGCTGATGCCACTGATTTTGTTGAGTACCAGTCTCGAAGTCATGCAAACAAAGTAGCAAAGGTAAACAACA